CAATAGCAATGGGGTCTACAGTCATTACTACAGGATCAACTAATACAGGAACACTAATCACTGCACCTACTACTGCGATTTCAGGTGGCATAATAACAACTCCCACTAGACCTACTATTGTAGTGTCTAGTGGCACAGCTACAATGGGTTCTGCAGCTACGCAGACAACATTGAACGCCGCAATAGCAATGGAGTCTACAGTCATTAATACAGGACCAACTAATACAGGAACACTAATCACTGCACCTACTACTGCGATATCAGGTGGCATAATAACAACCCCCACTAGACCTACTATTGTAGTGTCCAGTGGCACAGCTACAATGGGTGCTACAGCTACGCAGATAACATTGAACGCCGCAATGGCAACGGTTACTACAATTTCAACTATAATAGCATCAAATAGCGTAACAATGACGGCCAGTACAATCACTACTACAACTCCATCAACTAACACAAATAGTGCTACAGCAGTTTATGCCACAACAATAACTGGAACTGTGTCGATGCCATCTACTACAATACCAAGTTCATGGACAAGTATTAGCAATGTTATTAGAAAAATTTTTATAAAAAAGAGTATATTTGTTTAGATCGTGCAATACTCAATATGGATTATAGTTCAAGCGTTAATATGGTTATGCATACAGACGAAATTCCAAGTTCAACTTCTTTTATTTCCAGCAGATCTGTATTTACAACGTCAGGTATACAGTATTAGTTTTCAGAATCATGAGAGAATTTAGGGGCAGTATAGATGTCAAGTTGAAAATGAAGTTAGACAGACAAGCACTACAATTCTGAAAAAGGCAAATAGTATAGTTCGCGATTGACAAAAATTTTACACGTCAAAGTTTCACTTTTTCTTGTGTGCTATGGAAGATGTCTGGAAATGAATTATGGTGATTTTTATTTTTTGAAGTTATACGAAACGTCAAATAATGAAATTCCACATATCTAGTAGTCTTTTTGATGCAAGAAATATTTGATAGTTTTCTTCTTCAACTTAATATCATTGTAGATACATTCAACGTTGTTTTTGATTTCGTATTATAGCTTCAATAATATCATCAATGAGTATGCAATCCGCAACTATGCCAACAACTGTAATGACAACCAGTGATCCATGTCTAAGTAAATGATATTAACAACTATGAAACATACATAGAATTTCTATGTATATTTTATATATATAATAATAGGTACAATGATGCATTCAGCGGATACATCAAGTTTTTCTTTTGATCCAAATACTGCAAGTAAGTTTATAGTTCTTCGTTCTCAGGAAATACATATCTAATTCGGCTCTCTAATATATTAAGATGCAATGTCTACTTCCACTATGAACAATAACTTATTTATGGATAGTACCGGTTCAACTTCAATGCATTCCCATGTTACAGATTCATCTGATCCATGTACATATCTTTTAATTTTGTTCATTTTTTAGAAATAAAATTTTTCTTCTTCTTGATATTAAGGTGCAAAATATTGGACAGGTTCAACAATAAATACAATAACTGACACTACAACAGTCCAAACATGAACAATTGTAGAATCAGACGATTCAAATGTAACATTGACAACCAACAATTTATTAAATAAATGAAATGCAGCATAAAAAAACAATAACTAGTATTATTGTCCAAATTTTTCAAAAGAATGAAAATCTAATACATTCAACATAGTTGACAGATGGTGTTTCATTATTTTTCGACTTTTTTGTTTTATTTATCAAATCACTGTTTCTTTTCCTCTTTCCTTCTGTGATATAATTGTACCAGTGCACATTTATTATTAATCAAGTATTCATGCTTATATTATGTCTATGTGATTGTGTTGTGTTTCATTAAATAAATTTATATGCTGCCACAAAAAAGTACCGATAGCCAGTTATATGGTTGTTATGTTTTCTTTCTCATTGAACAGATGTTGTCGCCAACTTGTTCATTGCTCGTTCTCACATCACAACTCCGGAAGAAGAGATATATGTTGGATGACCTCTCTGTGTCTAAGCATAAAAAAGAAAAAGAGAGAAAAGAAATTTGAGCATATATTTTTTTCTTTCTCTGGTGTATATGTGTTCAAACTGATGATGGATGTCTGCCTAGTGAATGAACAATAGATGTTTGAGTGCAAAAAAAAAAAAAACTCAAAACCAAGAACGATAGATAGAAGCTATTCAAAGTTAAGACTATATGAGTAAGTGTTGTCGTTAGATTTTGTTGATCTTCTTTAAAATCACAATGTTTGTATTATTTCAATAGTCAAATTCAATTGTTCGTGTTAAGAGTTGAAGAAGACAGGAAACTTCACAAATGCTATGTTATGTGTACATGTACGATGATGAATAAAATTTGTCACTAACTTAGACTTTGATGCAAAGGGCATTCACATATACGTAGATAAAAAGCCTTGATTCTTTGACTGATCAATCTAATTAGTTATTCGTTAGTTGGTTAGTTAGTTGGACGACCTCGTCTAAATGTGTACTCGTTAACAATGAGCGATGATGGCTGAAAGGAAGAGTCGCACAAGAGGGGGCAACACATATATGCATACATATATGAACGGAAGAGGACGCGCGTGTGTTTCAAAGACAAACACATGAGTTAGTTGTTCAATTGTGGAATGAATGAAAGGCATTTGTACAGATGTCTGATGATGGTTGCTCGTTACTCTAATGATTATAACTCTTTTTACTCTGCTGTCATTGCCTCTGGCTCCCAAATAAACGACAACAGCATTCATTTTCTGACTATGAATGAAAATAAAAATAAAAAAAGGTACTATTCTAGACTTTAACAATAGAGTCCATATCTATACCTGGCAGCAGTAATAACTAATCAACCAATGTCCAAATATAATCCGTCCCTGATCACATGCACGGACGACGTATACTGTATATTAATCCTCTGTCTGTCGTCTGTTAAAGCCGAATGAGATTGTCTGTTTTTTTTCTAATTGTATACAGCAGTAGAGTTCAACTTTAGAAATTTCCAATAACTGATAGTAAAATACTTATTGTATGAATATGTCAGTGAACCATAAAAAATTTCTTTCTTTTTTCTTTTTTGTTTTAATTAACATATAACTACATGTTAATAACAATCAAATCTATTCCATTAAGGTAATGAAACTAATGTCTATTCTTAGATGATGAATATGTAAAAGTAAAATCTGAATAGCAGAAAAAGTAATCTTGTATTTTCTTTATCAATAGATTCATTATATTAAATATATCATTACTGATAAGGTAGAATCAATTTTTAGAGATATTCATTTGTTTATAAAACGAATATTGAATGAATGATGTTCTCATATATCTTTACTAAAAGATAATCAATCCACTTGAGTGATGGTTCATTCATAGTTAGGAAAAGGTCGTAAGTTGATTGTTTTTCCTTGAGATCATATATATCGTTCATTCATTATGAATATATATATATATATATGACTGTCTGTCTATTCCTCACGTTCTAATTGCATGTGACGATGCGCTTTGTTCATAAGGTGTATGCATGTCCATTCATTTTATATGTATATTAACCATGCGAACTCTTTTTTTTTTTTTAATCAACCAACTAAGTATCATCGTCAGAGTGGTGCTCGTTGATGAACAACGGTGAGAACAATCGTCATCATCATCGTCCTCTATCACTCGAGTTACCCACTTGAGCACCCTCTCTTCTTTCTCGTACTCTTCGTTTGTAGATGGCCTAATAATACTCGATATATGTGTATGTGCAGTCTATTCACTATAAAAGCAACAGCTGACCCCTTTGGGCTATCTCTTTCTTCTTTTTTATTCTTCCTTGTCGTGCATTCATACGTCAAAATTCGTCTCATGAACATTCTAATTTATAACAATACATACGAGTCTCAATAGACAATATAATCGAAAAGTAGTTGACCGTAAATCCGAGAGACAGATGAGACCATAATCATCAAAATGAGAAGTAAATATCATCTGCCATTGCCTTTTCTATAACTTAAAAAAAAAAGAAAATCATCTTTTCTGTTTTGTTTTGTTTCTTAACGCGTTTATTGAATTGTATTCAGGTGCAGTGAACAAATGTGTCAATCTTAACAACTAGCAAAGAAAGATAATGCATTGTTACATCATTGCATGTATATAAGTAAAAAAGAAAAAGAGACAGACAGACAGATAGATATATGGTCGATGTCTTCTCATCGATGTCAATTTCAATAAGACTACTAATCAACGAAACTATATAATATGACGCGAATAAAATGCATTTGCTTTCACTATTCTAGTTACTAGCACTTAGTAGTGCAACTATTATAGTTAACTAATAGAAAAGAAAAATTTTATTCAATAAAATAGCATGTCTTTTTTTCTTTGCTTACTAATGATTTTTGATCGTGCCAAGGTCTGTTTGTTCCGGTTTGAATAATCCGCCTTCTCTGTTTCTCTCGGTTTTTTTTCGTGTTCCTCATTGACAAAAATTCAATTTATTTGCTAAACACATGCTTGTGTAGGTCATCATGGGAAAGCTACGAGCTGCTATTCTTTACATGTAAAAGGTTATTCTCTCAGTTAGTATCACTGCTACTTCTTCATCTTCTTTTTCTATGTTCATGTGCTACAAGTCATTCTTTTCCGGTTGGTCTTGATGGTGGTTGTTATTATCTTCCTACTATGCTTCTTGTTCTTCTTTTTTTTTTTTTATCTCCGCCGTTCTGATGACGATTATCGACGACTAATTGTATATGGATGTGAGCGTGAAGCAGAGAGAGAAAGGAAGAGAAAAAAGAAAAAAAAGAAGAAATAAGCACACCCAATATAGCTGTTCATCGACTAAAAGAAGAAGAAGAAGAAGAAGAAGAAAGCTGTGTGCGTCCACTACTATCACCGACCGTGTCGGAGTGTTGTTCACACGCAAACGTACGGTAAAGATTTTCTCTTCTTTCTAGTTAGTCATTGTCGTTTTTTTTATTCATCTCATTCATACACCTCTTCAAATATACATGTTCATCTAATTATAAAGTTGCACACATAATATAACAATGATGTAATGCTTATCATGAAAAAGTTTGTCTATCGACTTTGAAATATAGACTGCTGAATTTCACTAATCAACCATGACGATGTGTCTGTCTATCTCATCTTTTTTTCCTCTCATCATCTATCGTCATAAAATTGACTTTTTATATTTCCTCCTCTTTTTTTTTTGTATGTCGACTCGAGTTCATCTCAACACGCATGAAAGCAACTTATAGTACATCGATCATCTGACCAGTCAGCAGCATTCTGCTATATGAAACAAACATCTATGACGATGATCAACCATCCATCATATTTTAGTTTAGACAACCTCCCTATACACGCATACATAGAACTATGCAGTCATCAATCTGTGAGTGATGAAGATGTCGACTTAATAACGAGTTTCTTGCTTGATCGAACATTCTCTACCTATAATGATGCACTCTCATCAGTTTTTTTTTTCATTTTTTCTCTTTTCTTTTATATTACTTCTTGTTCATCATCATGTGTCTCTAAACATAAAAGCAGTGAGTAAGTATCTATGAACTATGAAATGAAACAGATGAATTCCGGTGTGTGTGTGTGTTTGAAAGAACAAGAAAATAACTTTCCGCTTGTTTGTATCCAGGTAACTTATTTATTCACATCGCCGTCATTGAAACATCAAAAAAAATTATAAACATAATTTATATAAATAGAACTTGTTCTCATATCGTTCTTTTTTGTATGTATCAATTGTCATTTTTTTCTTTTTTTCTTTCTATACATTCCATGTAAATATTATTTATTTGAGAAATACATAACACTATTGCTTTCGATCGTTGCGATGAAGTGAACGTGACTTTCCAATTGATCAACGAGTTTTCTTTCTTTCGCTTGTCTACACATACAAGTTGTGCGTCTTATTGACAAGCGAGAAAGCTTCAACAACATCGGCATCAGTTCAATCATAAGCATGTTGCATGTCTTGACGTATGTGTATGTGTATGCGTACATTTTTGCGATAACGCTTATTGTTATTACCCCTGTTGATAAATGTGCGTTTGTGCGGACATTCTTCATCTTTTTCTTTTTTTTTTTCTTTTTGCTTTTTCATGTTTTCTAATTAAAAAACCGTTGTTTTATTGCTTGAGATGGAGTAGTAATAGTTTTTATGATTTAGTATATGAAGAGAAGAAAAAAAAGCAGATAAAAGAAGAAGCAACAAATAAACCCTAAAGCAATCGAGAATGTCTGTATGTGTGTGTGTATGTGTTCAGCGCTCACGCCATATTCAGCATGTTATCGCATCAAGACATTCCCATCTTTCTTTTTTGTTCTTGTTCGACATTATGCAAGTAACCTTTCCAACTAGTGATGATTAAATGGAGCCATACATATCATGCACCCCTACCTATCCATCCCATTGCTTTTACTAATGGCTCATCGATTTCTGTCTTCTTACGCGATCATAATAATCAATCTGTTCTTTTCTAGATATGTTAGTATTGTAGTATGAACAATAAAAACATAATGAAAATACGACTTGTTATTGTTTTTCTATGTGTTCATACAATCTATTCTCTCGAACTAAGTAAATATATTTATTTTCTAACAATCAAATTATTCTATTTGCGTTTTTTTTGTGATTAATAGAAAAACTATCAAGTTGTCAAACAGCATTGGGAATGCAATCAGGTTCTATACTTGATTCATCTATATCAGCATCAAGCAGTTATGATTCAAATAGTGTTGGTCCTAAAGCTAGTCGGTAAATCATACATATATATATATATCAAGCAACATATATAATTACATAATTCATTGACATATGCTCTTGTCTATTTTTGAGTACATCAACAATAAGACATTGATGGCTTATGATTCATTTGTCATTTGACATAAAGAGTGCCTTGTTCTTACATCCATGATTAGTATATTACATGTAACTGGAAAAAAAGGAAGGAAGAATAACATTCGAAATATATCCCTTAGGCATCCTATTGCATGACAATAAGATATATCTACATCCTTTTTTTTTGCTTTTTGTAATTCTTATAGAGCTCGAACTGAACAGTATGGTGGTGCATGGTGTCCATTGGGTCAAATAACATCAGTACCAAATGAATGGTTGGAAATTAATTTTGGAAATTTAACTTATTTAACACAAGTTGAAACACAAGGTAGATTTGATAATGGACGTGGAAAAGAATATGCTGATTATTATATACTAATGTATACTCGATCAAATAATATAAACAATAATAATAATAATGATGATGATGCTGATGATGATTATGATGGTGATGATTTAACATCATGGATTGAGTATAAACCTAAAATAATACATAATGATGATAACAATTCATCATGGATACGAGCTAATCAAAATACTTATATGGGTGAAATTCGTCAATTAAGTACGCAATAATATTAAATTATAAAATTTTAAACTAATATATATATATATATATATATATGTATTTTTATCCTTATTTAGATCCACCTATTGTTGCTAAACGTCTTCGTTTTTATCCTGTCAGTAAACAAACTCGAACTGTTTGTATGCGTGTTGAAGTGTATGTATACAATCTTAACTTAAACTAAATAAATATTGATTTCTTTTCTTGGTTTGTTTTTTTGTAATTCTATAGTTATGGTTGTCTATTTTCTGATGGTATTGTTTCTTATACAATGCCACAAGGACGAAATGATATAAATTCATTAGGTGATGATACATATGATGGAAAATATATATTAGAAACAAATATGTTAATTGATGGTCTAGGACAATTATCCGATGGTATAACTGGTTCAGAAGATATGTCATTTATTGATGGTCGTCAACCATGGATTGGTTGGTCAAATGAATCGTATACACATGTAACAATAATATTTCAATTTGATTATATACGTCAAATGAATCGTGTAACTATTCATACAAATAATGTTTTTTCAAAACAAATATCAATATTTAAAACAGCTGTTGTTACATTTTCATTAAATGGTGAACGAACAAGTTATTCAAATGCAATTATTTCTGAACAAAATCGTGATGAATTATTTGATATTGCTCGTCCAATATTGATACAATTAAATAATCATATTGCTAAATATGTACGTTTAGATTTATATTTTGATTCAAAATGGTTATTAATTAGCGAAATAACATTTGATTCACAAATTTATAATGAAAAATTAGATAATAAAAATGATGATTATTTTTTAAATATTAATCGACAAATTTCTTCTTCTTCTTCTTCATCATCCTCATCGTCTTTTTCTGATCAAATGAAAATGGTTACAGATATACGTAAACGTCATCGTGATGTATTACAAGCAACAACATTAATACAAGCAACAACAAAATCTTCTCGATCAACACATTTTTCATATTTTATTACAACGGAATTATCATTAGCATTTTTTATTGGAGCATCTTTAGCTATTGGTCTTTTATTAATTGTTTCACTTGTATGGTTAATACGACGAAAGAGAAAACTTCAATTTCAAAAGTAAGACAAAAACAAAATAATGCTTTGTTTCTTTTTATCCAATTCATTAAAACAATTGTTTTTTAATTTCTATTATGATTTAGATTAACAGAAAAACCATGTAATAATTCTTCATGTTATACATATCCAACATTACCTATACGTGAATTTCATGATTTAAATGCTCCGGTAGCAAGTGCTGTTGATGATCGTGAATATGCTGTACCAGATGTTAATATCTATTCAACATTTACTCATAGTCCACATATAAATCTTCATAAAAAACATATATCACCATTATCATCTACTTCATCTTATACATGTAGTCCTCGATTAATTCGAACATCAAATATAAATCGTTATCCAACATTAAAACCTCTTCCAACACATTGTTGTATACATCAACAATATTTAACAATGCAACATCGTCAACCATCAATAAAATCGAATTCAAATATGATTTTATATTGTCAAACAGAAGAATTTCCATCAATTGAAACATTCTGTGGAAATAGTTTAATGATAAAAATAAATTCAATTATTGATGATCAACAAATATCAATAAAAGAAATTCATTCTGATAATATAAATATAATTGAAAAAATTGGTGATGGATTATTTGGTAGTATACATTTAGCTGAAATGAAATTAATTAATAATGAAAAACAATGTGTTATTGTTAAATCATTGAATGATAATGCTGATGAAAAACAAAAGTAAGTTTTTCAGTGTTACATTAGTCGACAACAATCCCACTATAAGGGAAGAAGTGCCTAAATTTGAATCCTTTTTACATGATATTTTAATTACAAAACAGATCTTGGTAAATTCTGATCATATGTTTCAATCGGATGTCGATTGGCCTGAATACATTGAATTTAGAAAGTATAACCACTGGTTTTTTTCCTTGGATCTCAAATAAGACTTTTTTTGATAGTTTAAATGATTTGCTATTATTCTGAAGCGCTAGTATGCATCATTTTATTGACAAATAAAGCTCGCCATGTCTGTTATAATTCTGATAGGTGGTGACAGTTTCCGCATAGATCTCCGTTTCATCAATAGCTCTATAATCATGAACTGTTTAGAGAAGACTTAATTAGAGCAGACAATTTATTACTTGAAAAAAATTTCAAAGCAAATAGTTGAAAATAATCGGAAATAAAGGTTACTTTTTGACGAATCTCATTAACTCTCATGCTAAGAATAGCCAAAAATAACTTCATAAATCAAGCAAACTATAATTGTTTGACATGAAATTTTTATCGATGATAGACGCAGTATTCATCTCTTGAATGAAGAGTCAAACGTTGTGAGATTTTTTTGTTTTTACTAATGCTGAAATATCCTCGTCTGAATAAAAAAAGTCGATGTTGACCTTCTAGCTTATTCGTATGAGAGCCAATCAAGTACCAGTTACTGTTTGGGAGCAGAACTTTTGACGACTACTGATTTGTTTTTCTCTTAATTGAGAAAAAACAAATTATAAAAAAAAACGAAACTATTTATTTTAAATTAAATTATTTAGATTATTATTTTGGAAAGAAATTGAATTATTATCAACATTAAATGATTTTCATATATGTTCATTATTGGGTACATTAAATAATCAACGAACAGTGGCTATATTTGAATATTATACGCTTGATTTGTATCAATATCTTCGTCAACAATCTATACCAATGGATAATTGTTCAGCATCAAGTTTTTTATTATCATTAGCATGTCAAATTGTATCTGGAATGAAATATTTATCAACAAATCAAATAATTCATCGAGATTTAGCAGCAAGAAATTGTTTAATATCAACAATAAATAATCAATTACATATAACTGATATAGCTATGGTTAAATCTGAATATGCAAATGATTATGCACGTGTTGGACGTTTACAATCACGTATTGCTTTACGATGGGCTGCATGGGAATCGATATTTCTTAATCAATTTTCTCTTAAATCAGATGTTTGGTCATTTGGTGTAACACTTTATGAATTATACACATATGGACGTCAACGTCCTTATCATACATTAACAAATGAACAACTTGTACAACAATTTGCTTCTCTTTCACAAGAACAATTATCAACAGTACCATTAAATACTTTTGTTATATTACCAAAACCAGAATTATGTTCAAAAGAAATTTATGATATGATGTGTGAATGTTGGCAAAGAGATTCTATACAACGACCATCATTTGCTGATATATATACATTTTTATTTAGTCGAGCATCAGGCTCAGCACCATTGGTAACAGCAGAACAATTATAAAGAAAAAAAACTTCTTTTTTCTTTTTTGTTTTTGATTGTTCTGAATCGAAATTAGGACAAAACAATTAGTATTCTTTATATGCACAGATTTTTGCAATTACGTTTTGTTTTTTTTATTTTTCATTTTGTATGCGTAATGTGTGTATTTGCTTCAGTCAGATTTCTTATTCGAGTTTATGTATGCTTGTATATATATATATATAGAAAGAGAGATTATTATAATGATGATGATGATGACGTGAAAGTAATAAAAATCTTGACAATGATTTAAACATTTTATATGTATAAAGACATGTTGTTACGGATTGAGATATAAACGATTAGATTTATGATGTTCGATGAAAATGTTATATAATTGCGTCGTTTTAAGAGAGAGAAAAATAAGATCTCGTTATGAAAATGATTAATTGATAATAACTAAAGAAAATGACATTATGAGAAACGTTTAACAACTGTTTTCTTTAAAAACAAAATTTTTAGCCTTTCGTTTGTTGAATGTTTTTATTGACTGATTTTTTTATTCAAGCGATCTGAATGTGATTGTATAAAAACAAACAAACAAACGTATTATAGCTATTTAAAATAGTGTCATAAGAACATAGGATACTTTTACATTAAAAATAGAATCTTCATAAGTATATATGTCTATTTTCCATTGATTAGACGAAAACTACATCATAGTTCTTTGTTTTCAAAGAGAGTTTAATATATCATATGTTATTTCAAACCGGTGTGTGAGTAGCTGCAATGTATTCTCAAAACAATATCTCGGAGTGAACATAAAAAATGAACTAGTTTTGTAATTGAATATAGATTACAACGACATTATAATGAAACCATAGAATAATATCATAGACGTTATGTTTCGTTTTTAAAACAAAATTAATGATGATAATTTCATTTAAGTTTTCCTTGAGAATAGTCTGAGAACCAGGATTGGCAGATGAAAAAGTTGAAAATCGAAATTTTCATTCTCAAAATCGAAAAAAAAAACAGAAAGTTGTTTTTTGTGCATAGATGCTTAGTTTGGTCTTCTATCAACACAATACCCTTTATTCTGTTACAGTTCATGTATAACCTCTATACAGTGAGTCTTGGCACAGCGTAAAAAACGCATATTACTCTCTAAGGAAAAATATTTTTTCAACTGGAAAGTGTGTCTTAAAACTTACATGAAACAAGAACGGCTTTTTTGCAAGGCAAATAAACTATTTTTACAGCATAATGTATAACTACGATAAATTCAAGAGAAAATAAGTAGCCATTACAGTAAATTATAGGATGAAAAATTCGTTAACAAATCAAATGTTGCTTAATTTTGTGCAATCTTTGATTGGAAGGTTATAAGTTTTTTATAGAAACCTCAATTATGGAACACTCGACTTTTTGTCATTTTCCCATTTTCTACTAGTTGTGACCCTATGATACAAAACCATTAAACGGACAGGTTGGTAGATATTTATTTTGAATTGCGATCCGAATATAATAGTAAAAACCCATGGAGAGTTTTTTTGAGTTCAGCACACTGTTCAATAAGTGGATTTTTGCTTGTAAAAAAAAATTATTTTTAGCATTCTCAAAAATATCTGTAGTTTCTGAAGAAAAACCCTAAGCACCATCTGAAAATAGAGTTAAAAAGGTGACATCATGAAGATTTTATAACATATATTCTAAGTCGAAAAAAGATTTCCAGAATTGAGTATTATACGAAGTAATTTTGTGCCAAGACTTATTGTATATAAATTATTCATTATCTTAAAAGATATTTCATCGTATACACACATTTCAAGATGCTCATATGAAAGAAAAAAAGAGTAAAGTTCATTTCACATTAACATGTTTTTCTACATTAATATTTTTTATTTCTCCAAACTCGCTATAATAAATCCTTTTAAGACAAAAACTATTTATAGGAATGTTGATACAAGATACACGTTCTGGCAAGTTGTATTTAAGTTAAATATTAGAAAAAAAAGTTAGAATCTGGTAAGGACTCTAGAATCGAAACAAAATCACAAACATATCGCCAAATCAAGAAATCAGAAAGCGATCAGAAAAAAACTCAGTAAATTCGATTTTTTCCCACCATATCGACAGATCTAACAATCTTAGCCAGTATACTCAAGTTTCTGGCAGTAGTTTTATGACATAGATCCACTCAATAATTACAGGAAAATAAAGATAGACACTATTCAATTAGCTGAACGATTAGAAGAAGATGTTCGTCATTTTCGTAATCCAATTAATCATGCTGATTATACAGTGGCAAAGCTTCACAACCATCAACCAAAACGACGTAAACAACAGTAAAATAACTCATTCATAAAAAATGAATACAAACCATGTGAAACATGTGGTTTAACTAAACATCTTCGATCAAAATGCAAATATCGTGAGTTTACTTGTAACTTTTGCAAAAAAAAACTGGTCATTTAGAAAAAATATGCCGACAAAAGAAAAACGAAAAAATTTCTACAAAACATATTTCAACGATTTACAAATTGGATTGTCCCAATCAAATGAAACAATCAATTAAACATTCATCTACAATTCCATTAAAGGTCAACCGTTATGATTTTACCTTTGAACTTGATACCGGAACATTTAATACAATTATTAGTATGGAGGATTGGCTTAAACTTGGATTACCGACTATCCGTCCATCTAAGTTGGAATTAAAATGTTACAGTGGTAATACTCTTAAAATTAAAGATGAATGTAATGTTGAGATACAATACGAAAACCAAATTATAATTTATCTATGATTATTATTTATGGTGCAAGTCCACTTCTTCTTGGTCTTCAATGGGTTAACATAATACAACTCGACTTAAACTGCATCATCCATCGACAAAATTCAGTTCAATACTCAATTTACAAGATTTATAATTATTCAAAACTTCAAACAACATTACAAAAATACAAAAACATATTAAACAAAGAACTTGGATATTGTACTAAAGTTCAAGCTCACATTCAACTTAAATCTGATGCAACACCGAAGTTCTTCAAACTACGGCTGATACTATTTGCATATCTTGAAGGTGTAAAAGAAGAGATTCAACGAAACGTTGAAGCTGGTATTATAGAACGTGTTGATACATCTCTTTAGGCAGCAACACCAATAGTTCCAGTAAAAAACCAAATGGTAAAATTCGAATATGTGGTGATTTCAAGGTGGCAATTAATCCTCAGATATTAATTGATTAACATCCAATTCTATCGATTGAAGAACTTCTTGCACGATTTAATAATCGACAGAAATTTACTAAATTGGATTTATCAGATACTTATCTTCAAGTGGAATTAGATGAACAAACTAAAAATTTAGTTATTATTAATATACCACTAGGTTTATTTCGTTATAATCGTATGCAATTCGGTATTTCAAATGCACCTGAAATTTTTCAAAGAATTATTGTTTAAGTTATTGTCGGTGTTCCAAATTGTGTTTCTTATCGTGATGATATATTATTAACCGGGGCAAATGAAGAAGAACATTCACGAACACTTGAAATGGTTTTTCTAAAACGTTCAGAATTCGGTTTTAGGTGCAATCCAGAAAAATACTTATTTTTTCAAGATGAAGTTTCATATCTTGGAGGTATTATCAACAAGAATGGGAAACGCCCAGATCCAAAACGTGTAGAAGCTATTATAAATATATCCGCGCCCAAGAATGTCAAAGAACTTGAAGCTTTCATTGGTAAAGTTAACTATTATGGAAAATTTATTTCGAATTTTTCCGACAAATGCAAATTATTAATCCTTTCAATTCCGACATTTTCTCTCGTTCTATACAAAGTTGAAGAAAATCTTGATTTCTCTCTCCCTTGCTTTCTCCTTTAGATAATCAGCTGCACTAGTTCAGTGCGAAAAAAAATATTTTCACAGCGCAGAATATACGCGCTTCTTTGAATACATGTGATATGTATTATGTAGGAAAACGACAGAACGCAAAGTTTCTATATTACGAGTCATCTCATAGATGACATGTGGAATTGAACGGGTTAAATCATTTTCGTAAAAAAAATATTCCATGGAAATGGAGTCAATAATGTCAAAAAACATTCAACAATCTTCTACAAGAAATTTCCAAATCATTATTCTTTTATATATAAATTTTGTGTTGCTGTAGAATCAATTTTATTATGTAAATAACTTTTTATTTATTTTATTTCAGAATTATTCATTTTATATATAAATTATATTTTATCATTAATTTTATTTATAATTATTTTTTCTTTTGTTTTAGTATCATTTATTTTTATTTTAAATATAAATTTTATATCGTTTTAGAGTCAATTTTATTAAATAAGCAATTCGGTCGCAATTGTCGAAATTAGAACATTTAGTATGGAAGTTTCGTTTTTCGGAAATCTGCCCACTGAAGAATGCTCGATGCAAGTGTCCTTACCTCGGAAGGTAGAGCCTGAAGTGAGTTTCCCTACCTGGGAACGTGGAACGCGTACGGATTCCGGTTCCTAGGAATCCGGGAGCCCATTGTGGCTCGACATGAATAAAAAAAATAACCACATCTCAGCAGCTTCGATTACTGGCTAATGTTTAGGAAGCAATTTTCAAACGCGTTCCCATGCGTGGGAACAGAACCCGGAGGAACGGGAACGCTGACGCCCCTAATCAAGGTTCATGTTTTCAGTTAAAAAAGAAATACTGCGTGATTTAGTTATGTTTCTGAAGCCACAATGGCATATAACAAATCGACAATTGGCAAAATTACCTTTATTTTGGATTGTTGCTATCTATACAACACGGCTTTTAAATCAATAGTTAAAAAAAACTCCAAATCAACCAAAAGAATATGCAGTTGAAGCAATTGGCATTAATTTTAGTCAATGAGAGACTGCAGATTCATAGGATTCACATCTTATCGATTGCAATGCACATGCACATTTATTACTAACATTAGAATTTATTAATTCATGTGATGATGCTTTTTTTTCATCACTAAAAGGTTGTGTCATGGCTACTTCTGACTATTTACGTCAAAATGCGTAATTGTTTTATAATAATCGTATTCAAAATCATGAATTTGATTCAAAAGAAATGAATGAATCCTCAAAACAATTGAATAATATTGAACAACAACAAAAAGAAATGAATAAGGATTTACAACAAGTTAGAACTAATGTTCACAATGTGCAATCTAAATTTGAAAACGTAGAAAAATCAATCAATAAAGTCTTCGAATTATTAAAAGTATATTTCCAGTAACAACCAGAAGAAAAAAACGATGAAATACTCCTTGAAAACATAGATAATAAAAAAGAAATATAATGCCATAAACCATCTTATTTGAATTTCATAAAAGAAAAACATATATCTATCAAAAGTTTTAGAGTTTTTTTAAACTGAATTTTTTTCGAACAGTTATGTTTGCAATTTATATATAGACATTCTTCATAGAACTATTGTCCATTCCAGAGTTAAATAGCCGTAGCTATTTTTTGAATAACTTTTGATCGACTAACGTTATCGAGTTGGGAGTTGCGCAGCTGGAAAGAGTGTACTCCAATGCATCTTTTTGTATAACTCATTTGAGTCCACAAACATTTTTTTACGACTGTTTATGCGTTGCTATATTGTTTTTGTT